AAACTATAGATCTGGCAAAGTTTACCGAGAGGGCTGATCAGCTGACAGTGACTGTGAAGGGGGATAGTGTCTTTTAAACAAGTCCAACAGTGAATTGATCGGTTTCCATCCACCATACTCATCAGTTTTAGTAAAACTACAGGAAAATAAACACACTTTGGGTGAATCTCAGCAGTCTAGTTAAGGATGCAGTAGTGGTGCTTCTTGCAAACAAAGGAGCGCAGTGATTGGATTTCTTTGGTGGCTAATGGCCGATTTATATGCATCCTCAAACCCTGCATCCTCTGAGTAATCAGCAGTAAAGTAGCTGCTCTAACATACACCAATATTGCTAACTATTTTGGCTGACTAAAGCAAATCACCAAATTCCCAACATTTGTCAGTCAGTATTGATAACGCACATCCCCTGTAGGACACTAACATAGCTCTGTTCACGGCTGTGAAGTCCTGTAGAGCCGCAGATGGCATCGAAGTCTGGGCTCTGATACTGTCGTCAGAGACGTGAAACATCAGTCAGTTATCATGTTAGCAGAGGCCTCCTCCACACCACTGAGTATTACCCCTGCTCTTTAGCATTCATAACATTTATGGGTGTAATCATTCTGACAAACAAAGATGAAATGTAATCATGATAACTAATTTCCCGCTGTTAATAAATGCAGGAAAAAGTTGACGCTTTTTCTCCAAGAGGGATTATACTAATTACAAACGTTTCTCTGTGACCTGTGGACTTGTTAATTATGAACGGTTTACAAGCAGCTTAATGGTTTAACATTCTTAGCTGGCTGCCTCCCTTTTTATACACTGACAGCTGCTTTATTGGTCATCATGTACTGACAGCAGGATTAAAACAGGGGGAGATTTTTTGTTTATTTATAGACTAGAGTTGTGTGTTAGCCGCTCAAACATACACATAACCTTGCGTTGTGTTAATTAATGAAAAAAGTACACTCAAGTTCCCCATATAACACGAAACTCCTCATTACAAAGATAAGCACCCAGAGTAAGGTAAAAAACACGGAACAGTAGTCCAGTTAAAGCTCCTGTGAGGAACTTTCTATTGGCGCCCGAACTGGAAAAAGCAGTTTTGGATATCATAAAAAGTGTCAACATGTATTGAAGTCTATTTGATAGATGTAAAAAAACCCTCATTATCGCAATTCTGAATCTCCTTACCCTAACCCGACAGACGATGACGTTTCATAGCCACTAGGAATATCCAATCGGAGCCCAGATCTAGCCAATCAAAGGCGAAGGAGGGTGGGACCTTCCCCTACCAAAAAAATATTTTGTGTACCGGGCAGTGATTCCTTTTCATTCAGTTATGTTTTTTCTGTAAATTTATAAACATAAGAAAACAGAAAAACTCAAAACGGACACAAAAGTCACAACAATATCCGAGCTTCCCACCCTGTGCGTGTTGCCACTGGAAGACTCCTACAGTGGGCATATGGTCTATTACTTTATAAAATCACTCTCTCTTTTATATTACATTAGATCTTGACTGGCGCATGGAGCCACCAGCTGTTTATTTGAGCACTTTCAGCCTCATATGTTTGCAAATACTAGCGAATAAAAAGGCACATTTGCTTGGCTCTTTTTTTTGCTCATCTACTTCTGGAAATCCAGTAAAAACTTGTAGCCAATTTGTATAAAGGTCCCTGATAAGAAGTTGTACTGAAACAGATAAAAACTTTTTTTTCCTTCAGGAGAACGCTGAAAAGATAACCCTGGCTGAGATGACTGTACTCAGACTGTTCTGATTGACTTTCATTAACAAATGTTCCAAACTCCACTAAGAGCCAGACCAACTGTCTGGTTAGATATCTTCAAGTTTTCCACATAACAGTGTTTGTGCTTATCTAATCCCCATATGTTGCTCTGGTCTCTGATCCCACTCTGAGATTTATCACGTTTAAGTGAGTCACAATGATTCTTTCTGGATCAGTGTGCTCATACAAACTGTGATACTTTTCAGGGTGTGTGTGTATAAGCCTCGGAGCAACACCCTCCCTCATCTACAGATGGGTGCCCACAGTCATTGACACACCAGACAGATGGAGGGGGTGATGTGGTCTGTTGGGGGAGTAGGCGGTCGGTTGTGTTTGAGTTTCCATGACACTCATAAGAAGCAGCGACAGAAGCGTGAGAGGTAGCATTTATGGATTACCTCATTAAGACACTGATAATATTCAGAGGAGGTACGGGTTAGTGAAGTATCTGCAGAAATCTCCAAGCTCAATAAATCAGGAACAAATGAAAGTCAAATTTCAATATGAGATTAGCAGTTGATCAAGCTTGCGTTATAATGATTGCTTCATAATATGACTGATACATAATTAATGCACTGTTATATTCGCTGGAAAAGTAAACGCGTGTTTGTTTCTGGTGGTTCGTAGTTCATCACAAGATGAATCGTCCCGTCAGATGAATTAACATGATGAATCACCCTTATGCAGAGTGGAGAGGCTGCGGGCTGTTTTTTATATTCTACTCTTAATAACATACGGCTGCTGCAGCTGATTTGACTTCATGTTTGTAGTAAAGGCTCTGAGGCTAATGCTATTGTGAGAGAGTAAGTGATCAGGCTGCAAAAAAAGGCTTTATGCGCCAAGAGTATTAATACAAATACATCAACACCACTGGAGCTGATGCACTGGAGCTTTGGAGGCAATATTAGGGAGACTGACACCCATTAATAACAGTCAGTGACAATGTGCTGCGAATAATGTGAATGAATTTGATGTGTCCCCAAATGCCTGCAATGCCTATCTTCATGTGTGATGACTTTGGACACCAATGTAATAAGAAACTCCTTCAGTGATACTCTTATTGTTGATGCTTTACTATTGAAGAGTTGTTTATACCTTGAGGGAAATTAGAAGCGATTGCAATTAGAAGTTCTTGCCCCCAAATTAGAACTAACGTTTGTAATTTTCCACCATGAGGAAAACATCTTTATTATTTTGCATGAAAGGAAAGCTACACACACATTGTCATGTCATTTGGCAAAGAACTCCAGGGTGTGATGAATTGTGTGAAATTTGTCGAAAGACTTCATTTCCAGTGGTGCTACCAGCATCATCTGGAACAGTAAAGAGCTGTATATTTGGTGGAGCTATTTTTGGTCACATTGAACTCCAGCTATAACATTTCTGTTCATATTTACCTTAGAGCAATGTAGCTTTACCCACAGTTGGAGCTCCTGTTGGACTTGGATGACCATTCGATTTGAAAGGAGAAGGGTCTGATAACTCAACGTCTCATCCCCCAGACTTCTTACAGATGTAGGTGAACCAAGCTGTAAATTCTGTTTTTTGTAGATGTGTATGTAGATATGTTGGTATGTTTTTTCACCTGAGTAGGTATGTATGTTTAATTTTTTGTATTTTTCACTTTATTTTTAATCAGAGGTAGTATTAGATTATATGATTTAATAATTATGTTTGAATCAAGTTTTAATGCAAAAGAAAGACTTTAAAGCTCCTGTGAGTAGTTTTGGACGATTATGAGCAAGACTTAAATTCATATGGATGGCTTGTCATGGTTTTTAATTCCCAAAAGGATCAATAAAGTAATATCTAGTCAAATCTAAGCAAGAGCAAAAGCAAACAAGACCGTAATTGAAGAGATAAACAATTTATAAAATGTCATTTTTAATGCCGAACTTTGGTGTGAGGGGGTAGGTGTTAGCTTCACAGCAAAAGAAAAAGCCCTGTTTTTGTAATTGCCGCATAAAATATTCATAGTAGATTCAACATTTGACCATCGGAGGTCAGCAGGATGAATCTACTTAAATGTCTTTAGAGGAACTTTTTTGTGTTAGCTTTGGCGCCACCTGTGGTCAAAACAGCCTTTGCTTATCTTGATCTCTACTAAAGTGTAAAAACAAGGCTGTTTCTTCAGCTGCCCAGCTGACACCTAACCCCTCGCACTGACATAATCGGTCAAAAGCATCAACATAAACATTTGTTGCTTTTATAAACATAAAAAACTATTCACAAGAGCTTTAAGCGTTTAGAGGAAAAGATATGCAAATAGTGCTTTGTCTATAGGGGGCACCAAACCTGACACAAACTAAATGTTTCTGACAGAAGGCAATGTATATTTACATGTAGGGGCAGGGGTATAATTAGTTTTAAAAGAGGAAATGTTCAGTTTATTGTGTTCAAATATGTGTTTGAACATGAATAAAAACTGTGTTAAAAATAAAGTCAACAAAAATTTGATGTTTTTGCTGTTTTCAAGATTGTTTAAGTGAAACTGCCGTACTATTAAAGTGCAGGATATTTCATACAAAAACTGTTCATGTTTATTTTTACACTTTAAAAACACAAATTAAAGCAATCACATCCACCATTTCCCCCCACGGAGCGTCAAATTCTCTCAGCGAGTAGCATGCATGCATTTTACTAATGCTTCCTAGTGTGACTCCAGCCTGTTCCTCTCATAAATTAGAAAGCTATTTCTGAGACACCGTCGGTAACTGGACGAGGAAATGCTAAATAATAAGGCAGATATGACGGTTAAAGGTGATGGAAGAACATTTCTATTAAGACCTGTCTGCAGCAGCTAAATTAACTGAACACAGAGGCGGGCAGCAGAGGGATGCTTTAGCATATGGTTATAGATTTCTGCTCAGCTATACAGGCACTAAAATCAGAGCAGAGCGACAGAGGTTCATTGATTACCATATGGGAAGAGAGAGTGCATTTTATTCTGCTTAAATGCTGCATTGCTAATAAACCATTCTAACTGGCTGCTGTGCCGGGAGAGGATGAAAACAGCTTTTACCTTCACTTACCAATTAAAATGAGCCTGTAGCTACAACATAATGAAGGACCTTCATAGTAGTGAACAAATAGCCTGTGTACTGTACATTTGTTACAGACAATTTGACCATGAAGGAGCATTTCACTCAAGCATGCCTGAAAACTCAGGAAATAATAGGCTTGTTAAATTTGCTGCATGACTGTTCGGATGCTCATTTGCAACAATATGGATCCAGCGGAAGAGGACAGGTTTGTGCTTGTTATTTACAAGAGCATGTTACTTTATTGAAATTACTGTAAAACTGCATGTTTTTCTGCCTCCTAAATGATCCCTGAATGGAAGTCCTTCCTTGTTGCCTCGGAGTAGGACACAGCCACCAGGCGATCAGCATCAGCAGTGCTGGAGCCAGAGCCGAACAAATGATTCAACCTGCTGCTTCTGAAACTTCCCCCCGCAGGGCTGTCTATCTAAAACCCAATTTGCGCCACCATTGCTGTCATCTGTAACCCTCCTACATCCTCATAATCCTCTATCCGAGCTCCCTGTGTGACATGGATAAATCGTACCGCTGCAGACATGTTCAGAGGAATTAAAGCGATGATATCTTGAAATGAACACTGTCACTGTGACTTCCTCCTGACCTCGGGCTCGTCTGTCCAGCTGAACCAAATGAGATGTTCAACCCAAAGTCAGGGGAAGAAATGAGGGAAATCAGAGAAACACGGTGCTTCGACATGTATTAGATAGTTGTAATTTCTTAGATTATCTTTGTGTATTGTGTTTCTTTTAGGATAAATTTTAAAATTCTGGTTTTAACTTTCAGAGCCTTGCATGGTCAGGCTCCAGCTTACATCAATGACCTGATCCAGCCTTACACCCCAGCCCGGGTTCTGAGGTCTGTGGGTCAGAATTTTCTGATGGTGCCTCACACTCATTTCCGGACCAGAGGAGACCGATCCTTCCAGGCTGTTGCTCCCAAGCTCTGGAACGATCTTCCGCCTGCTCTGCGTTCAATGGAGTCTGTTGACTCCTTCAAAAGGGAACTAAAGACTTTTCTATTTGTTCAGGCTTTGGCCTAACTGTCTTAGGGGCTGCAGCAACGTCTGGGGCTGCTATGGTTGCTATAGTGTTGTTTTGGCCTTTTAAATTTTAGCTTTGTATGTACTTATTAACTGTGTATTGTTTTTGTTTTTTGCTTTTACTGTAAAGCGCTTTGTGACCTTGGTCTGTGAAAGGCGCTGTATAAATAAAGTTTACTTACTTACTTTCAATAACTAGCACAGTTGCGTAAAGTTCAACTTTTCACCTTTGCATCTCAAAGTTTGACTTCATTCTGGAGGGTTCTACTTCTTTCTCATAATCCCGGATATTTCGACTTAATTCTTTTAAACTACTTCTGCAAATGCAATTCAAATAACTCAATGTTTTACCTTACAGTGTTTAATGTTTGAGTTGAATACCAATGAAGCTTTCATTACAGTCTGCATGTGGACGGATGGTTTTAAAAAAGCTGGGGGGTAGGAGAAAAACCGCTGGACAGAGAACAGAAACCCAGTTTGAATTAGTCATGATGGTTTTGAGGCAATCATAACCAGCAAGATATCTAAATCAGAATGAGTAGTGTTTGCCTGTTGAATTATTCATTTCATGTACTGCGTAACATGCATGTATGCTCACTCTGATGAGGCATTCAGGAGAAGACTGATGACTTTGTCTGAATGGAGAGATTCAATATTTGCCTGCTGGGAATTTTCTGTGTCCATGGGGATGAAATGATGGACTTGACTTCAATCCATCCAGAGCCGAATTTCCTTCTCAGAACACATTCATAATAACAGCAACATACAATTTCAGTCCACACTGATAGATATTGACCGGTACGACTCAAGTGTTGCAACAATAGTGAGGCACATTACATCAGTGGCCATGCCTGACAGGAGTGACTGACTGAACAATAGATCAGCCGTCTGTGAAGATCAGATCAAAACCTTTGGCAGCATCGACCTGCAGTGAGGGTTTGACCAAGTAGATGTTCACATCAATCTTAAACTACGACAAGCGTGAGGATCTAACTCTCCGTGTACAACCACAAATTATCGTGTGACCCAAATTTCATCCATAGGTCGCTCAATCCCGTCAGAGATTCATGAATATGGAGCAAGTCCAATTTAAAGAGGAAGACCACAATATGGTTTTAAATCTATGAGGAAGGAAAGTAGTGGACATTGGGTTCAACTTTTTGAATAAAACAAGAGCAAAGTCCCAGAGGAAGGAGGAGATGGTTGTAGTAGGAAAGGATACGGGTGGACATTATAGGAGAGGATAAAATTCTGCGCTTAATGTGCTCAGCCTGCCTGGACTAACTCTACTTCAGACTCTTGCTGAATGAATCTAATTTTGTTTTTTATTATTTCCAATTTGACCAAACTGAGTGATGTTTCTACAGGACTAGTTATGTTTACATGTGCAAAATTTCTTGATCTGATTTAAAATTTGAGGGATCGGATAATCTGAATCCACTGTTTGTATGAGCGCAAAGTCAAATAATCCGATCATGACGTGCATGTACATGCACCAAGTTATATCCAGAGTAGAAGTATTTGGACATGCCCAGACTTGTCTGATTTCGCAATTGAATCGAATTGGATCAGAATCTTCTGATCAGGCCTTGAAGGCATGGTTGACTATTGGAGGGATTGGTAATTAAAATGAACCTCGTTTCTATGGCGATCATGGTCCTATAGTGCCATCTCCACAAAGTGAAGAGAAAAAAGAATGGAATAAATCTGTTCACCCCAGCAGCTGCAGGGCCTCAAAAACATTCACCAATGGGAGCCATCCATCTCGGACAGCTCCTATTGGTTAATCTCCTGCTCCATTTCTCCATCCAATCACCTCGCTGTATTCGACACACCCCACACCCATAGTTCTGACTCGTCCCCTCCCACTCTCCCGGCCCTCCTCGGAGCTCTGAGCAGCTAAAAGTAGCATAGCAGCTTAGCTACAGAAGCTGTGATGGAGAAGCAGAGTTTTTGTTGAACAGGTAATTTTTGTCTTTTATCGTGGCACATGTTACATAAATAACTCTTATTACTCTCTGCAATGTCAACACGGTAGCTGTCCAGGCAGCTGCAGACGGTGCTCGCTAGAAGAGCTGGCGTTTACTGCCGCTAGTCACTAGCAATCTGGCATGGTGAATCCTATTTTAAACTAGCGTAGGATCTTCTGCTGGCCAGCTTCTTGCTCTGCCAGATGAGGTGTGTCATGAGGAGGGCGATACAGACTCCACAGAGGGGAGAGGTTTGTGTGTGGTGGGTGGGACACTTTTTTCAAACCTGCCTGAATGGCTCAGGTTTTTTCAACTGCTTCTCAGATCGTCGACCATGCCTTTAATTCTGATTATTTGTGCCCGTGTAAACGCAGCTACTGATGTGGATCAGTTTCTGCAGACTGCATGCAGGCTTTGTGGTTTCTTCTTTGGGGGAGGAACACAATTAATTTCCTGTGTTTGTTAACACTTTTGCATTATGCATTATTGTTCGAGTTAATAAGGTGTCATTGACCTACTTTCACCGACATGATCATGTTTATTTATCAGAGCGTTGCACGATGGGTCTGCAAGAAAAAGGCCTCCGAATGTTAGGAACTAAAGTCTGAAATAGACTGATAGTCAACCTTTATCAACTAGCTCATTTATACAGGAGGAAGACTGTGAAAACCTCTGGTTCTGCACATCGGAAGAGGGTTTAAACTATTAGTTATACCTGATCACACGGTTTCATTATGTAACATCTATTAATAAGGCAGCAGCAGCAGAACAATGTGACACTTTCAAAAGAAACCCACCACAGCCTCACGACTGATGAATCTCAGGAGGAGAGGAGGAAGAAAAGTTTATTCCCCTGTGAAATATTCTTTGAAGTTGCAACAAAAGGATGAAGCAGAAGCCTCCTGGGAATATCCAGCGCCTGTCCTACACATCCATTTATTTCCTCCTCCATCTGAGAACACAGGGAGAGAGGCTGAGACATTACCTTTCATCACCGCCTGATTCTCTGCTCATTTATATCTCTACTTTCCCTCGAGGTTAAGTGAGATTATTGTTGTTTTTTTTTGTTTTACTCCTGACAAGAAATGATGTGATTAATCACGCGGTGAGAGTGATCCCAGGCGTGGTCATTTCTCGCATAAACAACTTCCAGGTGTGACGGCTTTTCTGAACAGCTCTTTTTCTGACTTTGTCCTTCCTTTGGTTAAGGCCCAGCTGCTTAGGGAATTAAATCACAACACAGATTCAACACATCGTCTGTATGTGCTGCTGAGCTGCGAGGGGTCTGGCTCCAGTAGTCCTGCCTCTGAGCTGTGGTGGTGCTGAGGGCGGAGAATTACCATAAAGGGTTTCTGGGAGACGGGATGATTGTAGATTGTACCACAGTGGAAAGAAAAGGAGAGTAAGAGCATGAAAATGTCAGGGAAGTATTGAAAGATTTGACTCAAAGCTCCTGTGAGGGGTTTTAATGGAGTCGTGAAACACACTGATATTAATACTGATGCCTCCATACAGTCTTCAAGGCATTTTAATAAAGTTCTTTTTACTGCTTATTACCGAGGGCGAAAACTGGCAACGAGTGAAACAATCTTGAGTTGATTCAGATTCAAGCACGACCAACAAAACAGCAAAGAGAAAAAAAATGTGGAAATCGGTGAAACTTTTAGAGGGAAGATTGTGCGAGTCGATCACCAGGCCACTGAAAACATTAATTATTTCTATTAAATATTAGCCTCAAGTGAGTTTTAAACCAGTGTCTTACCTTTTTCTTGCAGTTGGAGTATTGCAGTTGGTATTCAAAGGTGATAACATCCAAATTTTCCCTCTCACTTTTTCTATAACACTTGCACTTACGAAAGAGGATTAGGGCCACATGAAGAGAAAAAAAATATTACAGGAAGGAGATTAAAGTTGAAATTTCAGGACTGAAGTTGAGATTTCGAGATTAAAAAAAATCATAATTATGTCAATAAAGTCAAACTTCAGGATCGAAGTTAAAATTTTGAAATTATAGTCGATATGAGTAATTATTATTTTTTTCTTGTTGTGGCCCTAATCCACTTGCATATGCACTGGTATCCCATAAGAGCGATAAACAAAAGAAAATTTCAACTATCTACAGTTTCCTGACTTTTTTTCTTTTTACATCGTAGAGAGAAATTCAGAGAAAATCAAACAGACGTGTTGCAGAGTTGAGGTTTCTGCCTGCGGTTTAGCTCAGGTCGAGGAACCTTGATTACCAAGCAGCTGGGAGAGTTTTTTACTCTTAAAATCGTACCGTATGCCGCTCACGTTCTGTCCACTTTGAAGTCTTTTGGAATCACTGAGCTTGAATCAACATGACGTCTCCCCTGCCTTTGACCATTTCACTCAGATTTATTCAGCATGTGTCTGCATGTGCACCCTTAAATGTGAGGAACCGAGCCTTTAAACAATGCTGTGAGGATAAATACTAACCCAGACAAGGGTTTGATAGTTGTAAACAAGACATTTTGCATGGTGACAGATCAGAAATAGTCAAGAGCCTGGTTGGACTTTCCTCTGATGGCCTGTTTTTTCTCGTGTCTAGGGTTAGGTCAGGATAACGGGGCTTTTTAACCTCCAGCTGGTCGGCTTCCTGAGCAGCCTTGGCTGACATCATGATCAAGGATCAGTCTGAATACTCCAGATTGCTCTGACAGACCCTCCCATGGTTTAGGGGATGTTGCATAAATATAGAGTCCAGTAAATCAATGCAAGAGATTGCAACTAATGCATTAGCACTGAAATTGATGTTATTGCCATTCGGTAAATTAAGTCTCTATATCTTTTGCTCGAAATGCCCATGGTGCAGATACACTTCAGGATTAGTGTGCTGAGTCAATGTGGCTGAAAAGTATTCAATAGACCATTAAAGGTCTTTTCCAGCAGTAACATTTGCATTCACAGCCATTACGAATTCAAGCCAACTCAAACAGCTGATTAGAAGAGGAGAAGTCGCAGGCTCAGTTTTTCCTCCTGTGACTTCTAAAAATGCAAATCCAAAGACTCCCGCAGCCTAC